ACTCTCAATACAGTGTTACTTTGAAAAATGAGGTAAGTTATCATAAAAATATCTGCAATCCGTAGACAAAAGAGAAGTCAGTTCTTATGAGTCCACTTTTTGAATGAAATTTTTAATCTTTCCTTATGCAATAGAGGGTAGTTGAAAATTTCAGGGTATTTTATTTGTCTTATGGGTAATTGAAGATCATCATCAAAATTAATTTTATAAAATATCTTTTTCTTTTCCGGATTGTAGTGTAATTGTCTAAGATCGGTAACTGTTGGCTCACTTGGCTTTTTCCCTGGACGAATAGAATTGTAGCTCCATGTAGATGGCTGAGAGCTGTCTTTAAAAAATTCATGTGTCAAGTAATAATTATCTATTGGAAATGGATTACGCCTGGCCTCTCGTGAAATATTAACATAGTCACTTGGCAGATGAATATGCCGATTTTTTAATTTTTTTCCGATCATAGCATGGATTGCATCGCATTTCATCTGCGGATGGCCGCGTTCTAGAAACTTTTGATCTATGAGCATATTTCTTTTCAAGCTGTAGTGAAACAACGCATTGGCCATTACCAAATTTCTGTTCTGATAACAGCATCCATCCAAATAAATGGTAATTGGCAGTTTTGGATCTGTGCAATTTTCTTCGATGTAATGCAATAAAAATGATGCAAAAGTTGATGCTGTTAAGTCAGATTCGGTTTCGTTCCACCAGTAGCAAGTACTTTGATGAGTTGCTAAGTTGTATACTGTAAAATTATGACAGTTCAATTTCATTTTATAGTAAACTGCACTTGCGTTTATAACGAGGCATATTTTAACAGCTTGAACCTCCACAACCAGAGCGTACTTTTCTCTCTTCAACGCTTTCTTCTCGTCTTCTTCCTTTTCTTTTCTGGCCCTATCCTTTTTTTCCAAATTGTTCTTGTAGTCTTCTTCATTTATGTTATTGTTTTCGAAAGAGCAGCATACGTTGCATCTGTCTTTTTTTGGCTTGTATAAAGATAGGTTCATTTGCCTAAATATGTCATCAAATATTGGAAAGCTTAAGACATAGTTCTGCTTGTTGTGATATTTACAATAATTTTCATAAGCGCTGAAAAGATCTATTTTAGTAGAAAAAATTTGTTTAAGATATAGCTTTTGGGTATCTTTTCTACAGTAATGCGAGGTCAGTTTTGGCAACAATTCTAGCCAATTTCTCAATCACTTTCTCTTATCAGTTTTTGAGGCATGATCAGATCTTGATCTTGCAGACGTAACTTCTTCTGGGTTATCAATTCTCAGTTCATGTTCTGTGTTAGCCACCCAATTGTGAACCATATCTTCCTTGATTCCTAATGTTCCTAAAAACATATGTTTTTGCATATCCTTTTTCTGTCATTCTCTTTTGTTCTTATGTAGTAAAAATAAGTTGTGGACTGTCTTATTTTTGCCACATATTCCACATTCCCGGTAACGTAGACCTCTTTCTCCTCCCATGAGTCCAAATTCACCCAGAATTTTTCAAAAATCGAAGATCTGTCTTCTTCTGAAAACGTTTGGCAGAAGCGATTCTTTGACTTTAAACACGCAGTAGATTTGATGCGTTGGTTATTTTTTTTCAGGTCTGGATACCCCTTACGTAACAACGCCATTTCTATTCCTTTGATAACATTTATACGCTTTACCAGTTAATCTTAATTTCTTAATTTTATTTCTCGGCCATTCAGACGCAAGTGCTTTTCTCTTTCTCCTCCCAGAACTTTCTTCTTCAGCGGAATAATTGTCAACAAACTCTATTAGTGTCGAGTGACTGAGTGAGAAGTAGGCAGATTGAGACCTCGAACTCAAACGGAACCGTATCACCACTCTTGAAAATGGCTCCAATTTGGGTGCCGAAACGTCGAGCATTAAATCATTAAATTCTCAACACCTGACCACGGAAACCTATCCGAACACACACACATATATATATATATATATATATATATATATATATATATATATATATATATATATATATATATATATATATATATATATATATAGCTTTGAGGTTTATTGGGATTTATTCAGCGGTGAAATAAGTGTACTCTTTTAACTAAGTTTCAAGCTTTCGAAAATGTTTATTTTCATCATCAGGAAAAAACTGAAAATAAAGTGCACTGTAGTAAAGCATCCTCGAAATTAGTTGTAGAAAATGGTTTTAAAAAACGAGAAAAAACTTACGTTAGTGAGGTTCGTCTTTCGTGGATGTTTCACTTACAGGTGACAATTTTACGCACCACTCATTGATTGAGTCAAAATTTAAAATATTTAAAACATATAAAAATTGCATGGTGTAAAAGACCAAACTTAATAAATTATTATACTTTAACACATAAGAAAAAGACAGTTAAAAAGTTTTCAACGGCCACGTGTGCCGGCCAACTGTTGAATGATAGGTTAAGAGTAACTGTCATTCCTGGACATGGCAAATGACAGTACTTCTTCTTATTTCTTTGTCTTATGTAGTACTACTATTATTACACATCAAATTTTTGACAAAGGTTGGACTGGACTGGACTGGACGCTTCCTCAACTATTGGTCATACCATAGACATTCAATCAAAATCAACCTACTTAAACAAATGAAGGCTAGAATCATATCCATCAGTGACCCTTCTTTCCATCAGAAGAACCTGAGAATCCTGTTCAACCTTTTCATGGACAATTCATATCCAAAACCCTTAGTCACCAAGATTCTATTTAGTTTGACCCCTAACATAGCACGCCGAAATGATGAGATACAAATCAATGTCACAAATGGAGAACACAATACCAATTGCTCATATACTTCACTGAAATACATAAAAAGCATAACACCCAGACTGACAAGACTTTTTAAAGATGTCACCAATATGAAAATAGCGTATAAAACTTCATTAACTGTAAGATCCATCTATTCTAAGGTTAAAGATAAAAGTAACATCAAAGATTGTTCCAACGTTGTCTACCAGATCCCTTGCAACAACTGTAATTTAGTATATGTGGGACAAACCACACGTAACCTAGGCAGTCGCCTAATCAGTCATCGTAGCGACAGTAGACTATATCCAGAAAGATCTGCACTTGCAGAACATGTAAATAAAGAACATCATATTACGAATTGTAAAACAACAATAAATGACAGGAATGACAACTGTTTCTTATGGTCAAAAATGGTAATTTTAACCAGTGTTGCCATAGTTATTCAAAATTATGTTTTCTAATGAATTTCAAATTAGACATTAAAATAACATTTTATTATTACCTACTTTTAACTGAAAATTATAGCTTTTTTACAAGGGTCAGGTTAGGTTTGGTTACGTTTCTTTACGTTTATTATCATATTTTCTTATGAAAAATAAAAAATTTGATTTTTAATTATATTACAAAATTTTATTCTTATTACTGTTTTTTTAAGAGCGTTGGGTTAGGTTAGGTTAGGTTGGTTTAGTTTTATTGCCATGTTTTCTTATTGGGTTAGATTTGGTTTATTGGTTTGCATTTTTAATAATAAAATATAAAGAAAAATATGAAATTAAAACTGGCAACAATGTCAAATGTACATAAAATTTAACTTCTTGCGCATGGCCGCCATATTGTTTAGAAATATTAAAAATCTTGATTATTTTAAACAATTTTACGCATTTTTTCATAATTTTACAGTAAAAATAGTGATATTTAATACGTTTTAGTTACGTTTTTTTATTATGACATGTATATATACTTTTCTTTGCTTTTTATGTAATTTTTTTTTGGTTCATAATACTTTTTTTGGTATTTTTTCTGATTTTTTTGATTATTTGGGCACTTTTAATAGTTTAAAGCAAAGAAAACATTAAAATTTGAGAAATTTTTCACTTTTTCGGCTAATTCCACAAAAAATTGGGCATTTTAAGGCGTTCCGTCTTAGTAAATAATTACATTATATATATATATATATATATATATATATATATATATATATATATATATATATATATATATATATATATATATATCCTGTCCTCTCACTTTCCTTGTCTAAGGTTGAAATGCTGAAGTTGTTTTAAAACTGTTGAATTTTATTCTCTTAAACAAAAAGTATTGTTGTTTTGTTTTGTTATTTGTTTGTGTATACATAAACAAATATAGATGTTACAAATAATGTCTTGCAAGTTTCAGTCAAAGTGTTCTGTTAGCTGAAGGGTCAAAGTGCCAAAATCTAGTTTGTAATTAATGCTGTTGAATTGTGAGAAATTTAATATTAAGAAGTACACAAATATTACAAAAAAAATATTATTAACATCTGATTATTAGATTGTTTAAATTGTACTTATACCGGTTTTCTAATAGAACATAAGGGATGCGAGAAGAAGAAGAAGTTGTACTTAATACAAACCTTTGAACGCTGATTAAAAGTAATGTCAGATTATAAGTATCGTGAAAGACTTGAATATTAATAAAAATATATTTGTGATATTCAATTGTGACATAGACTACAAGCTCATGGGACATTTTTAGAGGGTCATGTGATCCAACAATTACTACTACAACCCAACCCAACCCAACCCAAATTAATACTACAATATGGAATAACAACTTTAGAAACTATGCCACCAGTTCTTGTCGGTACTCAAAGCTTGGGTGCTCAAATTAAGAGTTGTGCCTTAAGTTTCTCCCCCCTCTCCGGTCTAGCCTAAATGTACGGTGTTACAAAAAAAAATCTATATACCGATCCAAAACTTTGTGTATGAATACCGTGCTGGGGCAAATTGCCGAGATGGGGCAAAGGTTGTGTGTTTCCTCTGCCCCATCTCTCTCGTGGGCAGACATCCACTTGAAAATGTATTTTTATTAGAATTAGTCAGAAGTCATCATCCATTCGATATCTCTGATTTTATTTATGATGTTTATATGTCCTGGTCTAACCATTTTACTTAACGTGTATGCTATATGGAAATAAAAATGACATTTCTATGTATATCAATTATACATATTTAATAGGTTTAATCTCATTTTTAGGGCCATGACACTACATCTGTTTCCATATGTTTTACCCTAATGGTGTTAGCAAATGAACCAAAAATACAGGTACGTACAGAGTTTAAGAATTACTTTAACTATAAGATTTTGTAATAAAGACTTATTCCACTAGGAGTAAAAATTCTACAAATAATGTTTGCTAGACATACAAATTTTAAGAAAAATATTAATTTGTATATTTTGTAATCGATTCCCATTATTTCGGAATTACTCAAAGTGAAATACTTTGTCATCTAAAATAATATTTTTTTCATTGGCGAAGTGTACCCGCCTCAGTTGACGACAGCATCTTGATATACGAAGGAGTTGCTTCGCTTTCCATCGCTTTTCATATTTAAGACCATTCCTCCTCAATTATAACGATATCATACTCTTAGAAGATCTGCATTGACGAGCCAGTCTCCTCGTTGATATTTCCACCTTGTTTTTTGCTTTTCTTATCAATATCTCTATCCTCTGTGCAATATACGCAATAAATTCACTCTTTAGAAGATTCATAAATGGTATTCCCTGTATTCCCTGCTCGTCGTCCGCTACTGTTTTATAAATGGTTCTGCGTAAAATGTTTTCATTCTGAAATATTCGTGAGATTTCAACTTTTTGTACCTGCCCAACCAACTTTCTCATTTTCCATATCCCAAAACAAATTGAAATTTTATCAGCCCATAGAATAGGTGGTTTTTAAAAAAGGCTACGGAACAAACGATCACCTATTGGTAATATAAAATCTATGACAAGGAGACATATGAAAAAGATCCGTGTAGCTCAAAGGGCGATGGAGCGTGAGTAGTTATAAATAGGCGGAAGATCTCCATTGTCGCGTGGTTTTTTCTTTATACTTGGATGGTTCTATTAGTTGTCGTTCTGTCATCCTGCGGAAGATCCCATCGTTTGCCACTTATATAGAATTAGGAAGATACTACTGTCCGCGCACGGATCGCTGATAAAAAAATTCTACTTATAGGAAAGATCACTGATAAGAACAGTAAAATCGGAAGTCTAAAAATAAAGAATTCGTTATAGTTTATTTTTATGAACGAGAGAGTAATTAGCATAATTTTAACTGGTACCTTCGACCACTCCATGGGCGTGCTCAAGATTAATTGAAAAATTACTTTGAATAATTGTAAAAAATAAATGAATTATTTCAGTGTTATAAAGTGTTATGTATATGTAAACAAAAGTGACCTCTTTTATCACACACTATATTAGAACTGACTGGCCTACATTAAAAAGGGTTTTACAAAATTCACATTTTTTTTAATTTTTAAAAATTACAAAAGAGAAAAAGAGTTTTTAAAACCGTCTAAGGTATGTTAAATAGATGAATAAAAATATTAATATAAAACTTACAGCTACTTGTTACAAATCCAAATCAGATTCAGAAGATGAACTTTCAGAACCAAGATTTATAATAACTGGCTCGATCATTTTATCAGTAATATTGTCCAGCTTCCACATTTTTTCCTCTTCTTTAATAGTGTGATTTACTGCCTTTTCCCAGTTTTCAGGTTTTACATTATTTACGGCCTCCAAAAACAACTGTTTAACATCATGAATTTTAAAAGTGGTATTTTTTCTTGAAACTTCACTCTTTATCTGTGCCCATACCAGTTCAATCGGGTTTAATTCACAATGATATGGTGGGGATCTAAGTACTGTCATTCCACGATTTTTGGCAATTTCATCAATTTCGTATTTTTAAATTTTTCTTTATGAAGGGCACACAACGAATAAAGTTCCTTTCTTATAGATCCGGGATTCTGAGATTCTTTTTCCAGCGGAAGCCTATTTCTTTTAAAAGTTTCCATAACGTACTTCGACTCATTTCTGGGTAATCCTTATCATCTCGAACTGAGACAAGAACTTTATCCAATGTTGGAAATTCTTGTCTAAAGAAGAATTCATGCACTTTCCGTCGAAGTCCTTCTTTAAAATGATATTCTATTTGAAATTTTGGTTTCCCTGGAGCATTACGTGGCATTTGAAAACTACCACATTTCTCTTCTTTAATAACTCTGTAAATCGTAGATTTCCCAACACCAAGTGTACTGCTAACTAACTCAACGGTCTCATCAACACTTTCACATAAACGTTTGTCTGTAAATGATTTAAAACAATTAAATATTAATGTTTTTTCATTAACTGTTAAAGGACCAATTTTTCGGCGTTTACACGGCACTTCCAAATTTTCCATAACACTAGTATACACAATAAACTGCACCTTGCAACTGAAGTACCTACTTTTAGTGAACTGTTAAGAATTTTGAATACGCCACTTGGACCTTCCTACAAAATGGAAAAACCCACTATCACATTTTCTGTGGAATAAGTTTAGAAGGTAATTATCTAGTCAATTACTGTCGTAGATTCCTGGAATTAAAGAATTAAATGTTTGATTGTTGAAACCCTTACTTCGTGGAATGCACTCATTTCAGATAAAATAAAACGTTTTATTTTATCTAAAGAATTAAACTTTATTTTGCAAATAGGTAGGTACTTATTAAACTTTTATTGGTTATATATAACCAATAAAATAAACATCTTACATTTCTTGCAAATTCATTAGTACCTGTTAACCTCCATCACTCCGACACTGGCAACCTTATTTAGGGATTAGTAACCCTCACAACTATTGTATTCTATTCTGCTACAACCTTTATACCTGGTGGTCATACTCAATTTAAAATTGTTTTCCTATATACTTCTGTAAACTTGTTGACAAATATCTGTTTTTCATTGAGTCACCCGTATCAACAGTTTAGGGATTTGCATACATAATTTATTGTTTTATTACTCTCTCATACATAAAAATACACTATAGATAAAAAACCGTTACATAATCTATCAGATAAGAAATAAGGAGAAAGTTCAAAAATAAATCGGTAGTACAAGATAAGAATAAATAAGAAAAAGATAAGATAATAAATAACCGTTGATAGGGTGGAAGTCTAAGATAATAAAAACCGTTAGATAAAAGGAAGTCTGAAAATAAGTATATTGCTATTACATATAAGATAAAATAAGAAAAACAGTTAATTAAGACCATAAAGCTTATCAATAACAAGAAATGACAGAATATCTTATCACTGCAATCATTATTATAAATAAAAGATTATTACAGCAGTATTTAGTTGTATTCAATACTTTGTCAAGATGAGGTGTGATCAGTGTCAAGGAGACTTTGCTAACAAAAGCAATTTAACTAGACATAAACGAAAAAGTTGTAGAGGAGTAGAAAATATATCTAAGAAACGAAAAATTGATCTGCCTGTTCTAGAAAATCGTGTTGAAAGACTACAACAGGAATTCCAGTGTCGTATTGCCACTTACAGGTTTCGTATTAAAGGAGACTGTAGAATCCTGTGCAGTTTATAAATGACGTAAAGCAAAAAGTGAGTGATGTGTTGAGTGATTATATTAGAAATCACCACAGCTTAAAGGTTAGTTTGGAACTTTTTGGACTTTATATTATACCTGCTAAAGAAAATAACAGAAATAAAGTCATTTAATACAAAGAATAAAGTAATAACAATATCCTCAACCAAATTTATGATGACTTTAGAGACGTAATAACGACCAAAGCTTCTGAGTTTGAAGAAGCCAAATCTGGCTGGAGTCTAAAAAAAGTTATGTTTCTGAATTTATACATTAACAGGTACAGTGTCTGACAGCGTCTTCGTATATAAGATTACCTTGCTCAGTTGAAAAAAAGGGAGGTGCACTGAATATACAAAATCAAGTATGTCTGCTTTGCTTGGAGCATTAATGCGGCGATATTCCCACATAATGGTGATCCTACTAAACCAGAATCATATCCCCATTATAAAACAATGCTGTTTTATGGAATTGGGTTTCCTATCAAACTAGGAGATATACATAAATTCGAGCAGTTAAACAATATATCTGTCAACGTGTTTGGGCTTGAAACATATTTCAAAGATGGAAAAATGGTCACCGAAGTAGTTGGACCTTTCTACCATACACCCAGCCGCCAAGATGTGAATATTCTATTAACAACAGATGATAATGGAAACAGTCACTACTGCTTAATTGCAAATTTATCAAGACTTGAGCGAAGTCAAAAAACAAAACATGAATATCGAGTTTTTATTTGTGACGAATGGTTACAATTTTTGATAACCCAGCAACATTTAACCACACACAAGAATTCGACTGCAACCATTTGCGAACAGAGGTGCCATCTACCAATTTAAAAATAAATAGATATGGTGAGTACAGACCTGAAAACGTAATTACATTTATTAATTTTAAAAAGCAATTGAACACCTTGGTGTGAAAAGGATGTATGCCCCATACAATTACTTTAGAAAAATTAATGTTTGAAAATCATTTTAAATCCACAAAATCCAATTTAGGTGCAATTTATTTGATTTGAGGTACCAAAGATAAAACTGGTCATTGAGTATCTTACCAATAAAAAGAAATTAAAAAAAGCGGCAATTTTGTTTTTTAAGATTGAGGTAATTGTTGAGAAAATTGTGGCTTGTATCCTTTTACATAAAAAAATCTGAACTTAGTTTTTACTTGACAGGTATTCTTCATCTATATCTTCTACAGCCATTGTTTTGCTCAGCCTCTTGAATAACTAAATTTTTTGCACCGATTTCCAAATAAAATTGGTGGTGAACTTCGGGTATATATGGTAGCAAAAGCGATAAGTTTTGAAGTTTTTGAAGGTTTAGTTTTATTGGTTCTGCATACTTTTGCTGAAGACAGCCAAACATTGATTTCTGATACCCCTTTCTCCAACATTTACATTCTTAAAAATTTCATTTAGGAAGTGTTTTATTTTCATTATATTTAGGCGTTCATTGTCAAATCTAAAAACACAAAAACATTTTCTTTTTCATCTGTTAACTCTTTTTTGGTTATAGTTTCTTCCAAAACTTTAAATGAAAGCAAGTCTTCTCTTTTCATTATTGTTACTTCAAAAGGATTGGTTCTTTAACATTTCCTTACTGCATCAAACCAATCTGCTGGTTCATATACTACCTTCATTTTCTTTTTATATTTCTCGATCATAG